TCTCTCTCTCTCTCTCTCTCTCTCTCTCTCTCTCTCTCTCTCTCTCTCTCTCTCTCTCTCTCTCTCTCCATGCGTGCGCGCCTGCTACCCTCCGCGCGCGCCCCAAACTTCTCTCTCTCTCTCTGATTTCTGTACGCCCACTGGTTTCCGTGCGCACACTTACTCCCGTGCGCCAACTTACTTTCGCACGCCCATTTACTTCGCAAACTTCGGCTCTGCCAGAAGAAGAAGAAAAAGAAGAAGAAGAAGAAGAAGAAGAAGAAGAAGAGGAAGAAGAAGAAGAAGGAGAAGAAGATAGCAAGAAGAAGAAGAAGAAATAGGAGAAGAAGATAGCAAGAAGAAGAAGAAGAAGAAGAAGAAGAAGAAGAAGAAGAAGAAGAAGAAGAAGAAGAAGAAGATAGTATGAAGACGAAGAAACAGAGGAACAAAGGAAGACTCATCTTTACCAATGGACGGCGGGGCGGGGCGATGGCGATCCAAGGCCGGGGTGGACGTGGGGGAGGGGCGACGCAGTCTCTCGACCTCGTTCGCTTTCAACGAAGTGTCGAAGTGAAGGATTGTGCTGCTCAAAAGCAGCTGGAGGCGGGAGGCGGGGTGGGGGGGGCAGTGGCTGGGGAACGTTTGGATCGCCGCCAAGAAGTTCGAGTGGTTTCCCGCCCAAATGTTCAAGAACGGGTGGCCTATCTGGGCGGCAGATCTCACCAGATCGACGGCCCAGATAGGCTGCCAGTTTTTCAGTATTCTGGTGGGCCTACCGGACCCGGTTAAATTTTTTTTGGGCCGGGAGGCCTCCACGACCCGCATGGCGGCCTCCACGACCCGCATGGCGGCCTCCCGGCCCCAAAAAAAATTGAAACCCTCCCCCGATCGAATTGCACGAATTGCAACCGGGGGGGAACCGGCACGGTCCACTGGCCGATACAACTGGCCCGGTTCCGGTGGGGGAAGGGGGCCCCAGTGGGACCGGGTATTCAGCCTTGGCCTAAACACAAGCCATCTTTCTCCAAGCAGACAAGAAAATGCCTACCGTCGTCACCCGAATAGAACACCCGGTCATTACAACTGTATAGGGGGCAACTTTCAGTCCAGACATGGCGATAATGACCAGGCGTTCTATTCGGGTGAAGACAGCAGGCAAAGTAGGGGGATGAGGTGGAGGCAAGAGTACTTAAGAGGGCAAGCGCCTAGGAAAAGGCAATGCAGCTAGACCACAAACTCCAACAGTGGCCAGGTGGCTTGGTCTGGGTGCAACTCCTGCAAAAGCTCTGGCTATTACTTCAGCTCTGGCCATTAATACTCGCCCAATTTGTGACGACAATTTTCCCAAAGACGTTGATAGAATGCTTCACGAGTCAAGAAATTGTGCCCTGACAATCAGTATGAGAAGTGCACAAACTTAAACCACCAGTACATTTCCCAGCCACTTTTCAACGGCGCGGCAGTCCTCGCGCCGCATTTGAAGGAATGTACCGGCCTGTCGCTTCAAAAAAAAAAGAAACACCCAGCCAAATTGGCCCATGCGCGCTCGCGATTTGCTCGATGCATTTTTCCATTTCTTTTACCAAATCTGCAGGCTGGTACATCCTGCCAGACGCGGCGCAGGCACCAGCTTTGTCATCCCCCGTCCCCGAAACCCCAGCGGTGATCCAGGGGTACAGGTCCGGAGATCCTGAACCCCGGGTCTGAAACCCAAAAAAACAAAACAAAAAGAAAAAACTCAAAAAAAAGGAAACAAAACTTTAAAAAAGAAAAAAAAGGGGTTGGGGTGCGCAGCAATGCTGCTACCCGCAGGCATTTCCTGCATTTTGCAGAAAAATGGCCTCTCTGGACTCCCACCAGGGTGGTCCTTCGCGTGGGGGCGAGGGGTTGCCGGTTCGGAACCGGGGGTGCCGAGGCCAGAGGTCCAGGTGCGTGAGCGGGGGTCGCAGCGGAGGTCGGGGACGGGGGTTGCAGTGGGGTCGGATGCATGTCTCTCTCTCTCTCTCTCTCTCTCTCGGGTGGCAGGGGGGCGG